TATTAAAGACATAGGTGTAGGAAATGACTTTCTAAACAAAACCTCAATTGGACAAGAAATAGTAGCAAGGATCAACAAATGAAATTATATCAGACTAAAAGGGTTATGTACAGCAAAAAAAAAATCAATCAGTGGAGTAGAGAGACAACCTGTAGATTGGGAAAAACTTTTTATAGCTACTCCTCAGATACAGGACTAACATCTAGAATATACATAGAACTCAAAAAATTAAACCACCTAAAATTAAAGATCTAGTCAAGAAAGGGACAAGAAAAATGAACAAGCACTTCACAAAGGAAGAAATATAACAACAAACACATGAAAAACTGCTCAAAATCTCTGGCCATTAGAGAAATGCAAATTAAAACAATGCGAAGATTCCATCTTACTGCAGAAAGAACGGCAATCATTAGGAAATCAAAGAAAAACAAATGCTGGCAAGGCTGTAGTGACAAAGGAAAACTTCTTCATCATTGGAGGAAATGTAAACTAGTACAACCATTATGGAAATCAGTAAGGAGATTTCTCAAAGAACTAAAATTAGAAATTCCATATAACCCAGGGATCCCCCTGCTAGGTATCTTCCCCAAAGAATTTAAGTCATCATACCACAGCAATACATGCATACTAATGTTTATAGCAGCACAACTCATAATAGTTAAATCCTGGGAATAGTTTATATACCCATCAACAGATGACTGATAAAGAAAATTTAGTATCTATATATAATGGAATACTACTCTGCTATAAAGAATGACAGATGAGACATGTGTAGGGAAATGAATACATCTGGAAAATACGTTGAGTGAAATAAACCAGAAACACGAGCTTAAATGTCATATGTATTTTTCCTTTGAGAGAGGCAAGGTACAAAGAAAGAAAATAATGAAAGATGGATAGAAAGGAATGACAAGATGGATCTCCTGCAATATGGAAGTAGTCGAAGGGAAAAAGCATGAAGGGTGAGGAGGAGGGGAAGGGGAAATAAGTAGAATAAAGATGTATCATGTACAGGAACCTAATAAACGCAATTAATGTAAACATTATGTGCCAGAACATGAAGTAAGATTAATAATATCAACTAGAATAAAAAATGGGACAGGGGAATTGCAAGAGGAGGGAGGAGAAGGGGAAGGGGATTAAAAAAAAGAAAGCTGTGATATGTATATGTAACCACTCCCTAAGAGGGCATGAACTACAAACATGTACTAACAAGATAAAATAAGTTAAAAATAAAGAAGCAAATACACACACACACACACACACACACACACACACCAAAAAAACCCATATTACTAAATCTTATCAAAGCAAGTAAATATTTATAGTGAAACCACTATGCTTCTAGTTAAATATTGTTCCTCTGCTTGTATTTACAATAAAAAATCATTAAGAATATGGAGCTTGGCATCTTACTCTCACATACAAGCTTGTATATCTGAGCAAATACTTCTGGAAATTTCACTAATGTTTATTCAGTTACTTGCAAAATTCAAAGTCTTAGCTCTGTCACATATATCAGCCCAGGTACTTAAAGCACTGGATTTTATCCCAGGACAAAATTCCATACTCAAAACTAGATCTAGAACAGATGGCCTTTTCGGGGGGTGTACTGGGGATGGAACTCAGGACTTTGTGCTTATGGGGCAGGCACACTGCCACTGAGTTAAATCCCCAGCCTGAACAGATGGCCATTTTACCTCTTCTATAACTAGGTTGTACCCTATGAATAAAGAAAAGACTAAAGAAAACAGATTCCACACAGAGCCAGAACAAACATTAATGCTATTAACAGTACTAATAATATTTATTAAATACTGTTGTGTATAATATACTATAATAAGTTTTATAAAGAATGTGTCCTTGATGATTATACTGTTCCATGTGGGAACCATGTACAATCCCCTAAGCATGTTCATTAAAGAATGGGCATAGTTCTTGCTTTAAAATGGTTTTCAGTATGAGCAGTGACTATGAATGTAGTACAATTCTACAGGCAAATTTAAGATCAATTCCTCAAGAATTTAATAAGCCCTATAAGGAACAAGCACTATAAGGAAAATAAATGATGATAGTCTTGCCTTCAAGTTAACTATAATCTACTTGAAACAAAAATATGGAATGTTACAGTTACATGTTAATTTATAAAGTACATAAAATAAATGTTCAGGAGTTAGGTATGAACCACTGTTCTACTTCTACTACTACTACTGTTACTGCTACTACTAGTACTACTACTACTACTACTACTGCCACCACCACTGCTACTACTTACTATTTTTCACAATGATCGTAATAGTTGAAACTTAGATAGCATTTCTGATAGGTACTGTTCTGAGCTTTAGTTAGGGCAACTTATATAGAGCCTAACCTTAGGTACGTTTCCATTATTATGATCATTTTACAGATAATTAAGTCACTTGCCTGTGATCACACAGTTAGTATGAGGCAGAGCTGAGCTTTATGCTCTTAACCACAGGGATAAAATGACTTATAAAAGGAGAAGGCACTGAGCTAAGTCTGAAGGAGAAACAAAGAGGAGAGGGTCTTTAGGGTAAGAAGTTGGACTTCAGCAAAAGCAGAAATAAGTTCAAAAGAGTGAAAATGGGGAGTTGTGGGCAGATTAGACTCCAGGAAGGATAGTATTCAATAATTGAAGGTCTTAAATCTTACTAAGGTAGAAGCTTAATTCTAATGCAGTTCATGCATTAAGATTTAGGATGGTATTCTGAATCAGATGGCGGCTCCCAAGCATTTTTGCCTAAGCTTATGTTTACATGTTATATAGATAAAAATTGGCCCTTTCCCAAGACTCAACTCTCCAGCATTTGCCAATATTTCTGAGTTTGACATTAATTTACTGGTGACCCTTGATTAGAAAAATAGATTAAACAGCAGATGTGGTGCCAATTATCAACTGTACTTTGGCCCTACAACATGGTTAAGAAAAACAAATGTCCAATTATCACTAGAAGTCATGAGTTGTAAAGAGTGCAATTAAATGCCAAGTTGATATATATTTTATATGGATTCATCTTAAAAAGAATTTAAGGCAGTGCTCCTAAAACTGTTTATATATAATAATAACATAATTCACTTGTAAAATAGACATTACTGGGTCTATCCAATCAGATTTTTGATTCAACAGATTTGAGGCCTGATATTATGTACTTTATTTATATACAATAGAATCAGATGATTCTGATGCAAGTAATCTAAATACAAAATTAAACAACGTACATAGAAATTCTGAAAAAGTTCTAAATATAATTTATTCATATCAGTTATCTTTTGCTATTATATAATTTTTTAAATGTTATTCCAGTGAAAAAACATAAAACCAGATTGATCCTAAACTCATCTATTAAAATATCTACACTCACACTATTTTTGGTAAACAAAATGAAGTATCAATTTGTCACCTTTAAAAACCCGTTTATATATTCACTTAATTGTTAAATATCATTGATAATGTTACATGTAAAACTTTTTGGTTTTTAAGAGTATTTTGGCTAACCTACTTTGTGTAGATAAATATATCACAACTGAAGGTCATGAAACTTCATCAAATGTATAATAATCACATATTTAGTTATGAAGTCATTTGTCTATTATAAAAACTTCTGGTTTTCAATTATCCCCTTTCAAGATGTTACAGTCATAAAATATTTCAGAAAGAAAATAAATATTTTGAATAAGTCTTATTATATATTGTGTATTTTAAATCATGGCTAAAAATACAACAAATGAAACTCTAAGCTATTATGAATAGAAAATAGAGAAACAAAGGTTTATGAAACTATAATAAAAATGTTTCCATTTAACAAGTTAAATAGTGGCAATATTCAAAGAGAATGTTCATTATAAGTGAAACAGTAAGACTATTCAACAAGCATTTGTATGGAAATTATATTATAAATTTGGAAAAGGTAAATTACATTTACTAAATTAATGCTTTGCAATCACTTAAGTTCCCTGAAACAAGCATTACCGGCATCACTTCACCCTGACTGGTACCTTCATTAAAACAGATAAGAGATAAAATGTTTTATTTCACTCATTTTGCTGATATTTTAAAATGAGAAAACTCCCAGGGTATCTATGATTTCCAAAGAAGCGAATTAAGAGATTTCCTTGGGGTACTGTTAACAGTAACACACAATGTTTGTAGAATCTTATTTTTAGGGGAATAAGAATGTGTCATTACACATAAAAGCCAATTTTGGCCAATTTATATCAAATATACAAGCATGGGTATATTATTACTAATGAACAAATCAATACCTAAGGGGATTACTAAACCATTCTTAGTCAGATTACAAGGGACAGAACAGTCCCAGATCCAGAGTCCAAGATACATCTCAATCTGGAACCTCTTCTGAGTTTCTCTAGCGGGCTCAGGGAGTAACACTGTATTGCTGACTGAATGGGACCAAAGCAAAGATCAGAAGTCTAGAAGTTCCATACAACAACTTTCAAATAAACCACTTGTTTTAAGCCAGTATCTACCCATACTCCATCCATTTTTCACTTTTTTAAATTAAGTTCTAGGTGTTTCAGCCTCTGCTACCACTGTTCTCCAGACACTTAGGTTGCCTTCACTTTGTTCTGCTCATTCACTTACCATTCCTCTGTCCCTTCCGAGTCTTCATAGTTTGTGTGCTGAATGTCAGATGGCTACTAACTTCACTAAATGTGGAGTAAGTTTTTGATGTTTTTGCTTGGGTGATTTTCAAAATGAGGGTAGGATAAAGTGGAAATGACTTCTTTCATCTTGAACCTATCTTGGATACTTGATCACTACAATTTCATTACTAAGTTGACATTAAGATATATTAACAACAGGGTAAAAAAATTTAAATTCATGTCTAAAAATAAATCTCACAAGTGAGGTAGGAAAGCAGAAAGAAACTATGGTATTATCCAAATTATCTGAAGTCAACCACAGCCTACTCTGCCTGAAATTAAGTTTAAATTAGTAAACCATAAATAATTCAAACCTTCACAAATATAGTGAACTCTTCCACTTTTTCATTAGATAACAACAATTTCTTCTGTGCACCTTCTAGAACCTGCTCACTTTGCAGTGCTAATCCCTGAAGCTGCTTAGATGCTGCTGTTTCAATTTCTGTGATTACAGATTCAGTCTCATTCAGTTTTGATGTTAGGAGGGTAAGTTTGAACTCCTGCAAAAGATAAAAAAAGATATTACATAAAGTATTTGGAATAGTTAAACCTATCAGAAAGGAAGAGGGTCTCATTACACTCTATATTTATTTATTTTCATTGGACAAATTTAATGATTGTTTTTACTTTCAGTAATATAGAACTATCTTTAATGTTAAACTAATTCTTATTATTTGTTGTAAAGATAAAATATTTTTACAGTTATCTGAAATGTCTAAGTAGTTAATAGTATTTTGTAGAGAAAAAGTGGCATTAATGAATGACACACTGTTATAATTTATCTTTAGATTAAAATAGCCTAAATGCATACCTTTTTTTCTAACTCCTCTTTAGTCTTCTGATACATCTGTTCATACTGTGACTTCTCTTTTACAGCAACATTAAGTCTTTGCCTTAGTGAATCAATTAATACTTTTTTATTAGAACATTCCTCAGTTAATGTCTTCACCTATAGTAAAAATATAATAGTAATTTTTATTGGTAAAGGCATTCTACTGGTGGTAGAATACTGTTTTATCAGAAACTAAATGAATGAGTTTAATTCTACTTATTGCTCATAAATGGTATTGAATTCAATTACATCTTTAAATCAATAACAAAAGCCAAAATTGCACAAATGAATACATATAACAGAGCAATGAATAATAATGTATGTATTATATATTTCCAAGAAAAACAATATTTTAAATAAAACTTCTTTCCTATATAAAATGAATTAAAAGTATAGTTTTTAAAGACCTTGTGATACTTAGTTATCACATTTTTTTTCTTTTCTTTTTTTTGAGACAGGGTCTCACTACATAGTTGAGACTGACCTGGAACTATGTAGCCCAGGTTGGTCTCCAACTCAGTGATTGTCCTGCCTCAGCCTCCAGAGTGCTGGGATTACAGGCATGTGCCACCACACTCAGCTAGCTATCACATTTTCATTCTAAAATACTGAGTGTACCCTCATCAATTAGCTTTAAAATACAGACCAAGGGCCCAGGGATGTAGCTTAGTGGTGCCGTGCCTGCCTTGTTAGAGCAAGATCCTGAGTTTAAGCCCCCATGAAAACCAAAAGCAAAAACCAAAAAAAAAAAAACTGAACAAATATATCCCAAAAATGGGAAAATTGTTTTAAGCTTACGTTCTCACAAGACAGTTACAAATATGCACAAAATTTGGGAGTATTAAATTTTAAAACAAAAGATGTACTTTCAGAGCAAATAACATAATTCTGTCACTGTGAATGTGTATCCATTGAGTATTTCCTGTAAAATTACTCATACTGAATATTTGAGCTAAGAAAGTAAATATAACGGGAAATGAAAATTTTAGTTAATGTGAAAATAAAAATAGATACCTTTTTTTCAAGATTTTCTAACATTTGACTAAAACTCTCATTGCTTTCCGAATTTACTTTCTGACGAAATTTCAAGTCCTCTATCAAATGTCTTTTCATAGTTATATCCCTCTCCATTCGAGAAATTCTTGAAAGGAACAAAAGATATCTTATTAAGATAATAGGAAACACATTAAAAAGTGATCATATCTTATATATTACCCAATATTATACCTACTACTAGGTTTAAAATGTTACCTTATATTAATAAAACTACAAACTAAAATAATAAATGGCATTGATTAAATATCACTATTAAAATTTAACAATAATTATATTTATTATAATTTAAAATTTAAATAAAATGTACAATCAAGTGGATAGTATCACACACACACATATACACATATTAAAATGGAGATTAACTGAGAAATACTAAAATTTATGAGAACTGTAAATTATCATATTTAAATTACCTTTTTGTGTCACTTAGAACAATTGAAAGGATACAGATAATCAAAAGCCTAAAAATGTCAATAATTTTATACTTTTATAGAAATGTAGCCAGGGATTTATTTAGCTCAGTGGTTTTGGCACCTGCCTCGCAAGCACAAGGACCCAAGTTTGATCCCTGGTACCAAAAAAAAAAGTAAACTCTTATAATATGCAAAGAAACTAGGCATGCTGTCTTCTAATTTACTATCATTTGACATTGACTTCACGTATCAGTTTAGCAAGATGACAAAATATGAAGGATAAAATCAATGGTAGCTACAGTGACAACTATTATTACTGCTGCTGCTACAGCTATCAACCTTACTGCTGTGGCAGAGCAGCGATGGGCCAGTCACTACTGTAAGTGTTTATACCTGTTAATTCATTTATTCCCCTTAAAACCTTACAAAGTCATACTAGTTAACTGAATCACAGAGCTAGTAGAAAGGATTCAGAGTGCTTCTCTGCACTCCTCATTGATAAATAACAAGACATGTCCTTTACTTCAAGATATTCTCAGTTAAATTGTTTTAAATTAATTTTATTGCTACATTTAAGGTATACAATGTAGTGACATTCATCACTGGAAATTTGCATTTACAAAATCGATCTTGGTTATTTTCTCCCCACTCCCCTGCCCTCCCTTCAACCCCACCACCCTCCCTATCTACAAAGACTTTGTTTGCATTTCTTTTTCTCATGTGAATTCCATTCCCCTTTCCTCTCCGCTACCCTTCCCATTTCCCCTTCCACTTTGCACCTTTTCTTCCTATTTCAAATTCTATTACACCTTTTAGTCCTTATTTACCCGTTCAGTTTCTCATACTAGAGGAACTATTCGATATTTACACATGTCCTATTTATTTCAAATAAGAGTATCCCTTCAATGTCCATCCATTTAGCTATAAATGTCTCTAGTTTCTCATTATGACTGAGTAGTACTTCATTTTATAAAACAAAACAAAACAAAACCACATCTTCTTTATCCAGTCTCCAGCTGATGGCCAACTGGGCTGCTTCCAAGTTTTAGCTATCACAAATTGTGCTGCTAGGAACATGGGTGTACATATATCATTGTGGTATAATTCTTTAAATCTTTGGGAAAGATACCCAGTAGGGGATAGCAGGGTCACATGGGACCTCCAATCCTAGTTCTTTGAGGTATCTCCATACTGATTTCCACAGTGGTTGCACCAGTCTACACTTCTCCAGTAGTACAGCAGGGTTCCTTTTTACCCACAACCCCGCCAGCATTTGTCATTGGCCTATATTGAGATTGGCCTATAGTTCTCTTTATCAGACAGATGAGTCTTTTTCTGCTTTGGGGATTAAGGTTATGCTTGCTTCCAGGAATGAATTTGGGAGTTTTGCTTCTCTTTCAATTTCACTGAAGAGTTTAAACAAGAGTGGCAGTAGTTCCTCTCTAAATGTCTTGTAGAATTCAGCAGTGAAGCCATCAGGACCCGGGCTTTTCTTAGTTGGTACATTTTTTATTAAATTTTCAATTTTATTGATATTGGGTTGTTTAGAATTTTTAGGTAATCTTCGTTCAACTTTAGCAATTCATATAAATCTGGGAATCTGTCCATTTCTTCTGTATTTTCCATCTTATTGGCATATAGGTTCTCAAAGTAGGTATTGATGATCCTCTGGATTTCTGCTGGGTCTGTTGCAAATTCACCATTTTCACTCCTAATTGCATGGATTTGGGCCTTTTCTTTCCTTTTTTTTTTTTTTTTTATAAGGTTGGCTATGGGTTTGTCAATTTTGTTTAAAGTACCAACTCTTGGCCTCATTGATTTTTTTGTATTGTTCTCTTAGTCTCCATTGCACTAATTTCTGCCCTGATCTTTATAATTTTCTCCCTTGTGTGAGTTTTGGGTTTAACCTGCTCTTCTTTTTCTAGAAGTTTGAGATTCAGCATCAGGTTGTATATTTGAGGTCGTTCTGTTTTCCTAATATGAGTATTCACTGCTATGAATTTCCCTCATAAGACGGCTTTCATTATGTCCCATAGATTCCGATTATGTTGTACTGTCATTGTCATTTAATTGTAGGAACTGTCTGATTTCTTTTTAAATTTCCTTTGTGACCCACTGGTTATTCAGAAGTGTTATCAATTTCCATGTGTTTATGAAATTCTTGTGGTTTCTTTGGCCACTGATCTTCAATTTTACCGCACTATGGTCTGATAATATACAGGGAATAACTCCAATTCTTTTGCACTGACTTCAACATGTTCTATGAGCGAGTATGTGGTCTATTTTGGAGAAAGATCCATGCACAGCCAAAAAAGAGTATGCATTCTAATTTTATGGGTGGAACACTCTGTAAACTTCTGTTAAATTCATTTGTTCAAGAGTTTGATTAAGTTCTGGTATGTCATTGTTAATTTTTGTTTGGCTGATCTATTTGTGACAGTGGGCCCCCCACTACTAATGTATAGTTCTTATCATGTCCATTAGTGTTTGTTCTATATAGTGGGGTGCACTTGTGCTTGGTGCATGTATATTTATGATTATCATCTCTTCCTCTTAGATTGTTCCCTTTACAAGGATGCAGTGTCCTTTTTTATCTCTCTTAATCAGTTTTGGTTTAAAATCCACTTGATCTGCAAAGAGGATAGCTACTACTGCTTTTTGGGGGGTTCCTGTCACATGGAGTATTGTTTTTCACCTTTTAACTTTCAGTCTATGAGTTTTGTTTTGTTTTTGGTACCGGGGATTGAACTCAGGCCCTTGTGCTTGAGAGGCAGGCACTGGAACCACTGAGCTAAATCCCCAGCCCTATGAGTATCTTTTTTGAGTTGTGTTTCTTATATGTAGCATATGGTTGGGTGTTGCTGTTTGACCCATTCTGCCAGTCTTTTTTTTTTTTTTTTTTGGTGCCCACAATTGAGCTCAGGATGTTGCACTTGTGAGGCAGGTGGTGGAACCACTAAGCTAAATCCCCGGCCCAGTCTATTTCTTTTGATTGATAAATTGAGACCACTGATGGCTATAACTGATATGCATTAGCTTACCCTTTGTCATGACTTTTTCTTTTTATTGAATTCTTCCCCTTTGCCTTTAATTTCTTGTTATGCCTGATGGATTCATTCTGCTGGGCTACCTGGGATTGTGATCCTCATCATCTTTTCCTAGGATATTGTTTAAAATTTTCTGGAGTGCTGGTTTAGCATTCATGAAGTTCCTAAGATGCTCTTTGTTACGAAATTACCTTATTTCCCCATCAATTATAAAGACAGTTTTGCAGGGTACATCAATCGGAGTTGGAGGGGTTTTTCTTTAGGGCTTGAAATAAGTCACTCCTTGCTCTTTTGCCTTCCGGGTTTGTGTTGAGAAGTTTGCTGCAATTCTGATGGGCTTTCCTTTGTATGTCATTTGTTTCTTTTCTCTTAACTGCTTGTAGAATTTTGTTTTTCTGTTGCATTTCTGGAATCTTAACTATTATATGCCTATGTGTAGATTTTTTTTATAGTGGCTAGTTGGAGTCCTATAAGCCTAATTTATCTGTATTTCAGGTTCTTTCCCCCTATTTAGTAAGTACTCTGTCATCACTTCTATAAACAGTTTTTCTATGTTGTGTATACTCTCTTCTTTTTCTTCACTGACTCCAATCAGTCTTATGTTATTCTTCTTTGAATCGTCTAGCAGCTGTTAGATGGATCTCTGATCGTCCCTATTTTTAAGAGAGTTTTCTTTTCCTGGTCACTAACTGCAATCCTATCTTCTTCTATATCTGAAATTCTGTCCTTGTATTGGCTCGTTCTGCTGTGTAAACTTTCAATGGACTTTTTAATCTCCTGGAAATCTGTTTGCTTCTGTTTTATGGATTCCATTTGTTTTCTATGTTGGGATTGCATCATGTTTCTCAGCTCCTGTAATTTTTTTTAATCTGTGTCTGCTCTAGATTTATTAATCATGTCTTGTACTATGGGCACAATCTCTGCTGTTATCTGAGAAATTATTTGTGGCTTCATTTTTTTTCCAGGTCCTCTTTCATTGCCAGTTCAGGAAGTCCAGGTGGTTGAGGATCAGATGATTGCATCTCGTTTCCCTTTGGGGTTGCCATAGGTGATGTGGAAGGCTGATTTTGGGACTGGTTTCTGTGTCTACTCATTTCAGCAGATGCAGCCTGTTGTGCCTTTATTAAGACAACTTTCTGCTCAATCAGTGATCTTCAATTCTCGCCAAGCCACCAAGAGGCCTTTTCTCTGCTGCTCACCCATACACCAATTCCTGGGTTCAAACCACTGATGACATGGTGTGGGACGTTGATTGAACCTTGTGAGCCTGTGCAGCTCTTTCCTTGGTGGGCTTGGCTGGGCGAGTTTGCCCTAGCCTCTGGGGTCACAGCAGATCCCTGGTTGGGATCTGTCTGCAGCTGTGCTGGTCTGGACAACACTGCTGCTCCCCAGGATCTGCGCACACTCCCAGATGTTATGGGGCAGGCCTCTGATTGAAGCTTTTGCACATCTGTAACTTTTTCCTGGGTGGGCCTAGGCTGGGCAGGCTTGCCTGAGCCTTGGGGCCGGGGCGGATCCCTGCCTACGATCTGCACATACTCACTGATGCTATGGGTCAGGCCTCTGCAGCTCTTTCCTGGGCAGGCCTAGGTTGGGCCTGCCTGCCAGGCCTTGGAGCCCAGGTGGATCTCTGCCTGGAATCTGCCTGCAGCCAGCTGGTCTAGACCCCACCTGCTGCTCTTCAGGATCTGTACACACTCGCAGATGCTATGGGGCAGGCATCTGACTCTCATTTAAAAAATTAACCAATCTTTTTGTCCAATAATTTTATCTACTAATATCACTCTTACTTGATTTTTACTTGGTATACAGGTACTGTATAATGTGGTATATACAGGGGTATATATATGAGATGCAAATCAAAACATGTTATCAACTATAAGCTGTATCATATTTATAAAAGATGTAGAAAGAAAATCATTTTGGTTTAAAGGAACAGTGTATTTAAAATTTCTTTTTTAATAATAAACACAAGAAGTACCTCCAGTTATTTTAAACAGGACAAAATTTTCCTGTTACATTTTAGCTTTATAATCTTAGGTATTAAACCCAATATAAGTATTAGTCTCTATACATTTTTGTCACATAATTATTAAGCTTTAAAGTTTCTTATTCATAGACTTGTCATTCATATTTATTTGAAATGTTTAATAGGGGAATAGTGACATTAAATATTACTTTCATGAAAACACTTTGAAATTAATCACACTATACGTAGTTAGTATTCCTCCAATGTCCATCTTATGTATCTTCAGACAGTAATTTAGAGAGCAGAATTACATTGTTACAAGTTTCTTGAGTGCAACACTTGATAGATTTGAACACCACTAGGTGGCACCAAACACAATAGATAGAAATATGAAAAACGTACTTTTCATGCATCTCCTTTATGTGTTCTTCTTTTGTTAGGAGTTCAAATTTCAAAGACTTCACATTTGATGCCTGTATAGTGAGTTCATTACTTGCATTCTAGATCAAAAATAGGCATAAATTCTAACATAACTTTTAATCTTGAACAAAAGTAAATGTCATTCTCAAGAGAAATAAAATTATCCTGAACAATAATTAAACATTTTAAATTTTTGAATGCTTCATATTTTCCAATAGTAATAACACAGTAATACTGAAATTTTATGAATCAGGCCAAGGCACAGAGAAACAATCAAATAACAATTACAAAGAATATATGCAAAGAATACATTTATGGGAAACATGAATTAGCCCCATAATATGTAAATGTGTTTGAGTAATTAATAATGTAATGGCTTAATCATTTAAAATAAATGCTGGGTTTTCCAAAAACCTTTACTAGATCAAATGTCACAAATAATTTGATGCTTCCCCCATAAGTGGTGGAATCTATTTTCCAGCCCTTTGAATATAGTCTGGTCAGTGATTTACTTTAACCGAAAGAATGCAGCTTGCAAACTCTGTGCCTGGAAGCAATATGGCTTTCACCTTGACTCTTGGAGCACTGCCATGGGATCTCTTTGTGAGGAAGACCATTCGAAGACCACAGGAAGTAAAACTGAGACCCAGCTGACAGCCAGCAGACCAACTGCCAACCTACGAGTAGGGACAGCTTGGACATCCAGCCCAGCAAGTAAATCTCAGGTTCAGAAGAAGCTAGACATCAGGTAACCCAGAAGAGACCCGCAAAAAAACTCTCCAGCCAAATGAATTGGAAGAAAAAGTAATTTGCTATAGTTTTAAACCACAACGTTTTAGGACAGTTTGCTAGAGAATAATAGATAACTCGTAGAGAAGCTTATCAATGCTAAATACTTCTTTACCTGAACTTAATAGTACCTATTCTTCAAGTATTCATGCATACTTTCTAGATTTTTCAAAGCAGAAGAGTTTTGCGGTATTCACTGTCTATACCACCTAGGAGCAGAGGTAACTGGAGTGTTAAGACAATTGACTTTCACATTTGACTCAGGTTCCAGTTAAATACATAGTCTGAGATATCACTTCATCCTTTTAGCATTGCACTTTTAGGATACTGTTTATATATTCATATTAATACATCTGTTAAGTTTTTAAAGTATTAAATTAATACAAATGGAATAAAATAATTATGAAAATATTTGTAGTATATCACTAATTTTTCTAAAATACAATAAACTGTTTCTAATTAGAACTACTCAGATTTGAATTCATGTTAATTCAGCTAGAAATATGAACATACACAATTTTGCTGATATATTAACATAATGGAATTACACTATTAATATCACTATATTAATTTTACTACTATATATTATCACTATATTCTTATATAGTGATACCTTAAGGGACTTCTGTATACAAATACCTATTTATTTCTACATTGAATTGACTCAGGCTCCTACACTTTTCTAATTTTCTATTTTATTTTCTTCTCTATCAATCAGCTGGCTGCAATTGTTTGCTTTTGTCAGTATTCTTGCCTAAAAGCAATCATCCTATCCTTTAATATATACATGAATAGCTTGTTAATTTAAGGTGTTTTCTGCTGAGAAGAGAAACTTTGAATTTCATTTAAAATAAAAATAGGCAGTAAAAAAGGTCTTAAGATAACGTCAGTGGAATTAATTTTAAGATAGCGGTTTGATTCTTTTCCGTTTTTAGATATAAGATTATTTTATGCAGCTGAAAATGCTGTACATCTGTCTGCTGAATAATTGAAGTATTAATGAATTATAATATGTAAAACAATGCCAGCTTGATATGTACTTTTGCCAGAATCTTTCAATCTGATAGCTGTTTTATTTGATCTTCAAAAGTTCTTTCCAAAATAGTTACAAGTACATACCCATGTTTATAGCAGCACAATTCATAATAATTAAATCCTGGAAGTGGCCTACATTATCCACCAAAAGATGAAAGAAAATGTGGTATGTATACACAATGGAGTGCTACTCTGCCATAAATAAAGAATAAACTTGAGTCATTTGAAGGAAAATAGACCTACTTTGACACCATAATGTTAACTGAAATAAATGAGACAAAAAACCTAAATATTGCATCATATCTCTTACATGAAAACCCCAAAACATAAAGAGCAAAATAAAAGATAATAGGAAATAGAGATATTTTGCAAAAGTGAAGGGGAACAAAAGATGAAAGAGGGGCAAGAGGGGAGGGGAAAAAGAAGAAAAAACAGAATTAAGAGGTGTCATACACATGTACAGCTCCCTATGAGGAACATAATCATTATGCACTGCAAACATGGACTAAAAAAATATAAAAACTGAAAATAAAATTCTTATGAGATGGGTGCAAAGGCACTCCTGCATCAGACCTTTACAGAAGTTAAGATATTCCTGTAACTTGGTCCCACACGAAGTTAGCAGCCAAAAAATGGTCAAATCCATTATTTTACCACTGTTCATTCCTTGCCTACATGACTTAAAATCTTGGGTAAAACACATACATCAAAAACATCATGGTGGTAAGTACCCATCAATGTCAGCATTTTCCTACAATAAGTTTACTGAAATTTTTTAAAAGTTTGCATAACTTAATGATTAAAACATGGACTCTGAAGCCAGATGGTTAAATTCTGTTCTCAGCTCTCCTACTTAGTAGCTGTGTGAACTTGGACAATTAACTTATTTTTTCATCTGTTTCTCAACTGTAACACAGAGGTAATAAAAGAACCTACCTTACAAGGTTGAGATGAAAATTAACCTTTCTAAAATATTTTGAATCAGCCTAATGATAGATTATATATGCAGGAACTGTAGTTTAAAAACTATTTTTCACTATTATTAATTTACTGGCAAAATGGAAGAGAACATAGTAATACATATAAAATACTCTTTAAGGGTCAGGAAGTAAAAAATCACAATATAAACTGAAGTGTTACTTTACCTAGATTGTGTAAAAAACTAAAAAGCTATATATGTATATTTAACAGAAGCAATTCTTATAATCTATAAAGGTGCATATATTGAGAAAACATTTAAACTGGGTAAACATGAAGACAGAAAATGCACATGAGCACTGTAATGTCACTGGATGATCTTGGGACATCTGAAAAGTGCACACAAGAGGTTACATAGAAAAAACATTGTATAAAATGAAAAAAATGCAGCCGGGGATGGTGGCTCACACCTGTAATCCCAGCACTCAGGAGGCTGAGGCAGGAGGATCGCTGTGAGTTTGAGACCAGCCTGGGCCACATAGTGAGTTCCAGGTCACACTCAACTACATAGTGAGACCCTGTCTCAAAAAACAAAAAATGAAAAAAATGCATGTAGATCTTTGATTTAAATCTAAGCAACTTTCTCACTGAAGCATTAAATCAGTACAAACATAAGTTACTTCTTAGATAATCACTGTCTAGTGGTTTGATACCTCTTACAGGCTGAACTCTATTGCCTAAATATATATGCTAAGTCCTCACCTAATGTCCAGCACTTCGGAATTCAACTGCATTGGAAAGAGGGTCTACAAAAGGTGATTAAGGTGAGCTGGTTTTAGGGTGGGCTCTCAGAGTGCATGAGGAGGCTCTATAAAGAAGGAACTGGGGCGTGGAGACACACAGAGGGAAGACTGGAAATGAAGTGAGAAGACAGCCAGCTACCAGCCAAGAGGCCTGGGGGAAAACAAACCACACTGTTGACACCTTGATCTTGGACTTCCAACGTCCAGAAGTCCTAGAAAACAAACGTTGTTTTATATTTCAACCGTCTTGTCTGGTATCTTGCTATGGCAGTCCTAGCAAACTACAATACTGAAACAAATTTTTAGTAGCAGAGTATTATGTATTTACATTTCTTTGAGGAAATTTGTATATGAAACATGAAACAAGATAAAAGTAAGTATTTAGCCTTTTTGTCTCTACATAGCCTGGTCGGTGTTCTCAGAGACCAGGTCAGACATGCGCAGTTAAACTAAAGTGCTTTCAGCCTCTCATGTCTCCGCTTTCTTGCTTACACTTGTCTAAAACAAAATAAATACACTGCACATAGTTGAAAATGTGTACTTGGAAAAATATTATAATGCAAATAATTTATGCATACAAAATGAATCTATTATCAGCCAGTTTAAATTTCTGTTAGCCTATTTATAGTCAAGAAAATCAAATAGTAAAATATAAATCAATTTAAAGCTATTAACTTAAAAATTTTAAGTCAGATAATTCTGGATCAAACATTGTTTTATATATGTAAAAAAAATTTATTAAGATCAAAAAGACTTGAGCACAGAATTGAACTGTAATCTGTGTAGTATAAGATCAAAGAACATCTTAATGATTTTACCTTCATGCACATGAAATCTAAACACTAAAATGCTTAATTTGTACATTTCATGCACCTTTTCGGAGACAAAAACATCTTTCAAGAGAAGATACATGTCCAACATTTGAACAATTATTTATCTAATATTTCTAACATTAATATAAGGGGTTTGGACTTAAAAAATGCTAAGGCATGTTTTACATGTAAAAATTATCTGATGATGCTCAAGAAACATTTCAATCAATGCCAGTTTTATACCTATTATTAACAAAGCAGAATCATACACTCACTTATTTTAAATTTATCCTACTTTATTAATAATCCTACACTAAAAAAATATTTTTGATTGAAAACAACTGAAAAGCTTTTTGACAATTCAGTATTCTGACAGTCATTCTCATTCCGTTTCGGTGTACTATGTGCCCTAATAATCTGACTTTTTTCTAGTGACTCCCATTAGTTATGTGCCGGCATACCTTGCCTTTTATTTTCCAACTACCAATCACCCTAATGAAGAAAATAATCAAACATGGAAAACAAACAAGTTTGCTTTAAGGAATATGAAAATGGACTTTCCAATTAAAACTCATGAATCCCATTTCCGATAATTCTATTTACACTGAGGTGTCAGCCTTACTTTTAAGTTGCTGGCTGCTGCGCTTGGACGTACACGTAATTCCTATAAACACAGGAACACTGTGTGTTCACCCCACTCTGTTCAGCTGGCTGAAATCTACGAAACCAATCTCCCTCTGACTTCTGTTCCCCTCCCTCCCCTCGCTTCCCTTCTCATTTCCTACTAAGGACCAAAGACAGAAGGTCAGAGCCTGGAGGTGAGAGGAACTCCACGTACCCCGCAGCGTGAAGGCTACGGTTCAAGGTGCGTCTACGGTGCAACGGTCAGCACTCCAGACCCGACTGTTCTGTTCGGTCGAGGCGGGCACGCAGAACAGAGAAGAGTCACATGTTGGAGAAGACAATGGTCAATTACCATTAGCTCCTAAACTAGGATTTCATCGTTCCTGGTCATTTTGTTAAGAGAACAGTACCATGAATTACCAGATAAGAATCTACCAGGTTAAAATTACATAATGACGTAAAAGTAGTACCACTTTTTGGATTATTTACACCAATTTACCTTTACTAGAGTAAATTAATGCTGATATAAACTTGTCTGAGGATGCAGTGTTTGAATATGTTTTCGTGCTTAACAAACTTCCTATTAATCACCTTTAGTTCGCACTGCAGCCGCTTCATTCCCAAACCCACGCTCCTTGAGGAGCCCAGCGACGTAACTGATACACATGGAGCTGCTACTTGGGCAACTTCTTCTGCCAAACTTGTGATTTCGGATGAGGACTCCAATTTTTTAAGTAGATCTTCATTTTCTTTCCGAAGCCCAGCCAAATTCAAAGTTAGCTTCTTAAAAAAAGAAAATAAATATAAGAGTAACTACAGTTAGTCTAACAATTGTCAGCATAAAATTCCACAGGTAGAAAAATTCCGAGGAAAAAAATTACTCACTAAAATAATTATTATAAGAACTTTACAAAAATTCTACCCTCTTTATTCCCTTTTGCTAGAGTTGTAAGGCTTATACATTTCAACAAAATAAAGCAGCTGTACCCAGTCTTCAGGTTGAACAATTTCTTTCTCTTCACATATACATCGATGAGTCAGAGATTCATAGACTTGATAACTCTGACTTCAGGTCTGATGCACTTAACTTGGCAAAAGTTGTTTATTCCACTGGGTAGGTCTTACTACCCTATATAGCAGCCAAAAGATTCCCATTTAGCAACATAAATGTTCAGTCCAATTAGCAGATGGGGCTCGTTAGGGATTTAGTTCAAGTAAATAGCATGCAAACAAACTTGCTCAATTTTATGTACTTGATCAATAATTGACAACTCTCATTTATAATGTGGAGGTAAAACTGCATTAAATTCCTAACATCTGAATTTTTAATAATATACATATTTGCTAAGTGACATACTACTAACATTTTCACGGAGTGTAAAAGTAACTGTCAATGTTAGCCTTGAGCCTCCCTGCAAGCAGCAGGATGTCACCCAACTGCGGCAGCATAGCGACTCAGAGCTCCTCAAGAGGGTAAGTGCAATGCTGCTCCTCCAAAGCTTACAGCAGTGTCTAACATAAGAGACCAGCAGACAAAATGACACATCTCTCGGAAGGGAAGAGAATCTTTGTTATGATTACTATTAGGCACAGCAAGAGATGCAGCTAAAGTACACAGTAATACAAACTGATATATTATTTAGGTATTAACACTATATTTAAACACTACTTCTAGAAACTCTCCCAATGAAGCCACAATTAAATGTTTCTGTATATGCATATGGTTAAATATGAATATTTCAGGCCATGAATTCAAAAGTAGGGCTTGATGTACTCTTCAAACAAGAGTATGTTTTGATGAAAAATTTATTTCTTTGACTATATTTTAGCCGATGGTCTAGAAGTATAGCTTTAAAGGCTTTCATGAAACATTTATTCATGAATTGTCCTAAGTATACCAAACAGTTAATATCTAAAAATGAACTCATAATTTCCCTAAGTATGAAAATCTTGGTTATCGTCCAAACTTGAATCTACCTTCCTCCTTATGTATTTGTTCTATATGTTCAGTCAGCTGTCAGTCTATAAATTACATTCCTTCGTATTCCTTTGTGTTACTCTTTATGCACACCCTCTTATCTCACTACTACTACTTCGAAAAGCACCCTTTTCTTATTTCCCTACCACTTTTTATACAACTTCCTCAAACAGCACTGACCTGTAAATTCCTCATTCAAAGCCCTTCAGGGAGGTCTTCAACCCAACAAGAAAACTCAAATGTCTGAGGGTATCAAAGCTTTCTAACACTTGAGGTTCAATTTGTGTTTCAGTTAAACACAACCTGAAGTCAAATTTGCCTGCCATTTCCCATCTATAACTTTAAATACAGTTTCTTCTACCTGAAGCACCTCTCGTCTTGAAAAGGGCAACATAATATTTCCTTCTTCACAAAGCCTTCTTTTTTCCTTTGCTCCTTATTTGCTTCACCAAAGTAGCTTCTCCATTCTCTTGGATCCCACAGAAGTATGCATGTTCCTTATCTCTAAACCCTCGTTAATTAAAAATCCTTGAGAGAGGGGACCAGGGACTTAGCTCAGTGGTGCCAATGCCTGCCTTGCAAGCACAAGGTCCTGAGTTCGATAACCAGTAACAAAATATAAACAAATAAATAAAAAATAAAGAGGACTGGGGATATAACATAGTGACAATGCCCTAGGTTCAACTCCAGTATTACATGAAAAATCCTTAAAAGGATGATATTTTTGTCCATTAATAGGTTTACCATAGTATACAATCTCAAAACAATTGCCTTACATGCAGTAAGAACCAAAGCAAAGGATTAAAAATTTAAAATTTCTATTTGTAGTCTATATGGTGCTAACAAGACACACATAATTGCAGCTTTTATTCACATTCTATTAATTTATTACCATATAAGCTAAAATGCATATTAATAATATTTGTTAAGCTTTTGCTTGGAAATGTGTACCAGGGTGTACCTCAATTTTGATGTTAATGTTCTACATCTGTATTAGACTTTGTGAAATTTCAATTTTGTAAGACAACTCATTGCTATAAGTATAGGCAGAATCCCCAGCAACACAGGAGACTAAAATTTGATAAGGCTCTTTTTTTCCCTATGAATAGCCCAGGTGGCTTCTCTCACTTGTTATACTTGTATGCTATTATATTTCTGTTGATTTTACCCATGCTAGCAGATCCCAAAACTACAAATGTATCTCTTCTAAGGAAAAAAACCAAGCAATAAATATATTTTCTAAAAGGCATGCATATGTCAATTTCAACTTCAATGTAACAATATAAAAATATAAATGAAGAAACAATTATTACGCATTTATATTTTATCAAAATATATTTTGATTAAAAGGTTCTTTATAATCGTTAAAACATCGCTAATACTACATATATTACATAATTATAATATTACATACATGTATGTATAGGAATGCTGCAGAGTACTTGTTAAAATAGGGGAATATGTAGATAATTTAACCCATCAGTTTGAAGTCCTTTGCTTATTCCTTGGAATGCTAGACTAATAGTTTAAGTTCCATTACTAACTTTTCTCAGTTTAGGTTTTTCTTCTTTTGTTCTTTCTCTCACCCCTCCCTCAACTCCTCCTTTCTCTTTCCTCCATCCCCCCACCCCTCTGTGTGTGTGTGTGTGTGTGTGTGTGTGTGTGTGTGTGTGTTTGTCTCTGTTTCTTTCTTTCACACTGGGGATTGAGCCCAGGGCAAGAATTCTACTTATCTCAGATATGTTATACATGACACATGAAGTATAAACAACTTCAGCTTGCTCACACTTGGATTGGCTGCTTTGGTGGGTGACCTTATCTAGTAAAATTGTGTTGTAAAATCTACCAATAAATTAAGAATAATCTTAAAATTGTTAATATTTTTTGTTTTATTCAGGAGCCTGCTTATTTTTCTATTATTTTCCATGTTTAGATACTTATAACATTAAAGTTACATTACATTTAAAAGAAAAAAAATAAAGCACAGAGAAAAGAATCATGATTTATAGATTCTAATTCTCTGAATCTATTTTTTTTTTTTGAGATAGGGTCTCACTACTTAGCTCAGGGTAGCCTCAAATTCACGACAATCCTACCTAAGCAGAGTGCTGAGTGTTGGAATTACAGGTGTGCGCCACCATACCTATTAATCTATTAACTAACAGTTGAGTTACCTTGTGTATGTGACTGTTTTTCCTGTTAAAAAACACAGATAATGCTTGCCTACCTAGAGAAAGAAATTTTGAGCACAAAATTTTCAAGATATCTGTGACAGTACTGGTAGATTTTTATGTGCAGCATGATGGGTACCTCTATTATTTTGTGGTAAACTACAGTCTGAGACATGTCTTATAGCTGAGGACAATGATAAAAATATTGTTTAATACAGGGATATAATAATCCTATATAACCATAGCAGAAATGTGATTTTGCTTTAAAGCACAGCTACTTACTTGATTACAACCAACTTAGGATACTTACCAGGCTACCTGCATACTGACCTATGTACACTTGTAACCCTGTATTTCCAACTCGGCAGTCTTCTAGAAGTCTATTTTAATCTAAAAGTTAATCTCAGAATCAGTGCTTGGATTTGTTTTAATTTTTGTATGGTCAGTTATTTCTAATCAAAGACTACAAAATAGAATATTTATAAAAATTTAAAACTAGAAACTACTTTCTATGTATTTATTTAAATAGAACACTGGGATAGAATGTGAGCCTTAAATGTAACTGTTACATGAAGTAACCAAAGCAGAAAAGACAAGTACTTCATGATCTCACCTACCTGCAGAATAAAAAGTAGATCTCCTAGAGGTTGAGAGTGGAATGGTGACTACCAGAGGCCAAGGGAGAGATGGGGGACAGAGAAAAGCTAATCAATGGAAGCTAAGCTACGGTTAGATGACAGGAAGTTCCAGTGTGCAAATGAACAGTACAATAATTACAGGTAACAATAATATACTATATATTTTTTAAAGCTAGAAGAAATACATGATACTTGAGTATATGCTTAACTTGATTTAAACATTAAATAATGTATATATGTATTAAAACATTACATGATACCCCATAACACAAATTTTATGTTTTTATGTAGCAGTTAAACTTTTTAAGTTTAAATATAACATTGAAGAAAAGTAAGTCTGAAGAGGAACACTGCAAAAAATTATAAGGAGAAACAAGACCATATACACAGAAGAGCTTGTGTGTGTGTGTGTGTGTGTGTTATTGGGGACTGAACCCAGGGCCTTCACAAGGAGCTATTTTTAGAAATTTAAAAGCCCTTTTAATAATATAATCCCTAATAATTTCCCAAATAATATACTTTTTATATTCTCTGATCTTGATGTTTCTAAAAAACAAAGTATTCAAAACTGTACTATCCAGTGGACATGACACTAGATGTTGTCATGCCTGTAAAAAGAGCTTTTTTTGGGGGGGTACCAGGGTTCAAACTCGGGTCCTTGCACTTGTAAAGCAGGTGCCGGAACCACTGAGCTAAATCCCCAACCCGATGCTTTTGCTATTCACATGCTTTAAGAGCAGCACTCCTAAGCAAAAGAATAGCATGAGATAGGTCTTCACCTCTAATAAAAGATGACTTGGACCTACCATCTTTTTTTTTTTTTCTGGACAGTAACTACCCTTTAGCATTCAAAGATACAGTTTACTTTTCCCTGTAAGTTTTATGTCACTAGACTAAAGACTTAAAGTAATGAACCATTTGAAAAATTTGAAAAATATTTATTAATTGGGGTAGTAGGATCTGAAAAGTAGACACAAGTTCTAGAAAACCCAGACA